CTTCTGAAATTAAATACTCCAGAAGTGATGGAGCCTAGAAGTGATGCATGGTACAGTTCATTGGCCGGAACTACCCCCATGGCCCCACCTAGTCACAAATTGGCCAGGAAGTACAATTTTAACATGTCTTTAGAAGGGAGAGAACAGAAAAGATTTAGTGAATGGCGCCAATGACACCCCACAATAGAGTTAGCCAGAGCACCCACCACAAAACAACATCCGACTGCAACAGCACTGGCTGGAGGGCCACGGTCCACCAGATGGAAACAGTGGCACAAACTGACTTGCAATGGCTGAGGAACCTCAACATCTCATGCCTTTGCACCCTAGATCCCAGTTAACCAGGCTGGAGGTACCTCTCAGCCCTTAGCCCTTCCTCTGCCTGGGGTGGCAACTCTGGGGGTCGTTTTTTGTCTTTCAGAGTCAGCTCTGCCTCCCAGGAGCAAATAAGAATCATTCATTGACAATTAGCCCTTGGAAGCTCAGCCCCCCCAATAGTGCTTTTGTTGCACTGAGTGTGCTAAGCCATGGAAAGAGAAAAGCGAGTTTACCTTTCTTGAGAGATGCACAAAACACACTGGCCCCTCCTCTGTTGTTGACTTTGGAGCAGCATAAGTGCTGATTACAGGAGCTTATGTACAGGGCCCGAGGAGAGGCCATGCCCTGTGCTCCACTCATTCAACAAGCATTTAGCAAACCTAGCACTAGGCTAGCTTGAGACCTCAGGTTCCAGGGTCCCGACACCAGGTTTCAAGTCCTGGCACCACCACGGCCACTCAGAGGTCTTGGGGTGAACTTAGTTAATCTTTTTGTGGTTCAATATCCTCATCAATAAAATGGGGATATAACAGTAATACTTAATCTCATGTTGTAAAAACTAAATTAGAGTGGTGCCTGGGTGGCTCAGTTGGTTAAGAGTCCGACTTCAGCTCAGGTCATGATCACACGGTTCGTGTGTTCGAGCCCCACATCGGGCTCTGTGCTGATGTCTAGCTCAGAGCCCAGAGCCTGCTTCAGATTCCGTATCTCCCTCTCTCTCTGACCCTCCCCTGCTCACGCTGTTCCTCTCTCTCTCTCTCTCAGAAATAAATAAAAAACATTAAAAAAAAACCCCGCTAAATTAGATGTTATTGCAAAGTGTTCAACATAGTGCAACCTACTTAGTTAGCTAAGTTACTGCTAATTTCAGATTCCTGTCTAGACCTATTTCTGGATAGACTAGCTTATATCAGACCAAATTACTCACTGAGGATAACTAAAAGGCGGGATTAAATTTAAGAGATCTGTTTAAAGGCATGGGAAAGCTACGAAGACAGTGAGGACTTGAGGGGCCAAGATCTTGGAGAGAAGTAATATTTGGTTTAATTTTTCCCTTAAGGCATTTTTTCCAGTTTGTAGGAGACAGTGGCCATAAATTAGGAAGTCAACATTGGAATTTAGGGCTTAAAGAGGGGAAGAGCCTTGTTAAATCCTTTAGCTTTTGGTTAGGGGCCCCAACAGCCTATTCTCTGGGAGTAATGGTTAAATGGATATAGGCCAGACTCAGGAAGACTAAAACACAGCTCCCAGTCAGTGCAATTCCAGAGTGGCTTAAGGTAGGTGGCCTGTCCCTTAACCTGCCCTGTCAGAAACAAAAGCAAATCTATGGACAAAGGTGACATCATCTGGAACCTCATGCAGTCTCTACAGTTTTTCATGCACAGAGTTGGACATTCAATAATTTATCTTGCATTCCAGGAGATTAGACCAACTGACCAAAAGCCAAGAACAATTAAACAGACAATAGAAGTAGGCGATCCCGATGTTGGGGTCTTCAGACATGAACCTTAAAGGGCTTAATTTGTTCAAGAAAATAGATAAGAAGGATTCTTTTAATAGAACACTGGAAGCTATGAAAAAGAATGAAGTGGAAATTCTAGAACTGAAATGGTATAACAATTGAAATTAAGAACTGGATGGATGGATTGTACAGCAGAGAAGACACAGGTAAAGAGAGGATTAGTGAATTGGATGACAAATCAGTTTTAAAAAAACATCCAGATAGAAACACAAAAAGAGAAAAAAAAGGCTAGAAAATACAGAACAGAGGGTTGTCTGGGTCGCTTAGTTGGTTAAGCGTCCAACATCAGCTCAGGTCATGATCTCATGATTCAGGAGGTCAAGCTCCGCATGGGGCTCTGTGCTGACAGCTCAGAGCCTGGAGCCTGTTTCGGATTCTGTGTCTTCCTCTCTCTCTGCCCTTCCCCCACTCATGCTCTGTCTCTCAAAGATGAATAAATGTTAAAAAAAAGAAAGAAAGAAAATAGAGAACAGAGTGTAAGAGACGTGTGGGACAATATCATATGGTTGAACATATGCACAATTGGGGTTCTAGGAGAGGAGAAAGAGAATGAGGAAAAAGATAATGCCTGAAAATTTTCCAAAACTGTGGGGAAGATCAAGCCACAGATTGTAGAAGCATCAGGAAATACAAGAAAGATAAATACGGAGAAAATCACACCTAGGCACATCATAGTAAAACCGAAACCCAAAGAATCTTCCCTATAAGGAAAAAGAAAAAAGAGCTGACCCTCCAGAGCCTCCCCTCCCCTTGTCCAATGTTGGCTTTCAAGAATCTGTGTGAGGTGAGGTGAAGGGCCAGACTCCACCTCCTCCATCAGCCTCAAATGGAGCCTTCCTGGGGCGGGGGGGCGGGGGGGGGAACCTATCTAGTTCAGATAATACTGGATATTGAGAAGGTGGGGGAGGGGCTTGAGAAGGGGAAAATTGGAGAATCTTGCAGCCCCTCCCAAGGGCAATAGGAAGAAGCTATTAGGATCCATGTCCACATCAACCCTGAGGAAATCAAATCTTTCTTTTTAAAATGAAGCAAGATCACACATATATGGAGTGCACCAGATTATGTATGTATTCTCTGATTCTAGCCCCAGGTTGTCTGGTCTTCCTTCTAGTCCATCCACAAGCGCCCAGATCCACTTCCCTCCCTGAGCCTCAGTTTCCTCAGTTGTAAAATGTGTTGATACTGTTGATAAGTATCAAGCAGTTGTAGGGATTCAGTGATGCCATGGATGTGAACAAGCTTTGCCAACTATAAAGTGTTGTATCCCTTCAGTGGTTGCTATTTCTGCCTGGCAGAGCCAAAGGCTGCAGGTTAAAGAGAGCAGATGGTTCATGCAAACGTGGAGCTTCCTGAGGAACCTGTGGTTGTAAGTCCTCTAAAAGGTCAACAAGTGCTTGCTTGGCTAGGATTTGGGGATTTCTGGTTGAGTCTGCAAGGTGCTTCTGGCCAGAGTCCCATTAGAGCTCCTGCCTCTCACCGTGGTGCCAGGGGAGGGAGCCATGAAGTGATCAGATCCGGGAAGAAATGGAGGTGGCCTTCCTGGCCCTCTGACCACCTCCGGCCAGGCTGAGTCCAGCCTGTGTACAGTGAGGACTGTGCTGCCCCTCGCCCACACTAGCCCTCACTTTCACTCACCCAGTCATCAAAGTCTCCCCAACCCCACTGTGTGCAGGCTCTGGACACTCAGGAAGGACAACTCAGGGCTCAGCCCTGAGGCACTCCCAGCGGAGGGATAGATCCACTGTTCTGTTTCCATCCTCCCAGATCTGAGACCTTATAGCTCCTTCTCTAGCAACCACCACCATGACAACATGGCTAACAGTTATTGGATTCTCACTGTCCTTCAAGCACTGTCCGGAGCACCTGATTTCGCTTAAAGCATTTAATGACCACTAAACCCTATGACCAGGTCCTGTCACTGACTCTACGCTACAGGTGTTAACACTGACGCACAGAGAAGCCACTCAGTCAAGCTCAGTTACTCATCCTGAATGCGCTGCTCCCACCTGTGGTACCACTATCCGATTACTCCCCTCTCACCCCCCACTCAGAGCCCTTTTCTGACATTTTTTCACAATCCTAACACAATTCCATAGCTATGATCTCATCCTTTGAGGGCCTTTATACCTGGGATTTCATGTTCTAGAACAGAATTCTCAAATAGGAGTCCTAAAGCTCTAGGTTCTAATTACATTACCTTTGCTTCTGCATGCATTCCCAGAATTCTAGAACCCAGTGATAGATCCCAGAACCAGATACAACTAGAGAATTCTAGAAAGGCATTTCAGCAACCAGTGATTGGGCTTTCAAGTCCAGGTTCAGTAGTAGAATCCTGGGGGTGGGACAGGGATAGGGTTGGAATCTAACAGAATGCCTGGTCTACAAAGGATCTTGGGTCTGCTCCAGCCCATGTAGAGACTGTCCCTTCTCACTGGCCCTCTGAAACATCAGGAGCTCCTCAGTCTCCTGTGGCCACTCATTCCAGAGCCTCATCTGATGTTTAGGAAAGTTAGTGTCACTGCTATGCCTACCAGAGCTTAGGGTGGGGACACCAAAGCCTGGTGGCAGGTCATTAGGCCCTGGTCCTGGATCTTGGGTAAATTGCTAAACCTCTCTGGGCTTCAGTTTCCTTATCTAGACAAGGAAGGGCTTGAGCAGATGGTTTCTAAGTCTGCTTCCACTTGGGAGGCGGAGAAAGTTGTCTAAATCCCAAGAGCAGCCATCCGCCCTCTAATTAGTACTGATAATGATGATTATCATTTGATGAGCACCTAGGTACACGCTGAGCACTTTACAGCCATTCACTCGCTTAATTTAATTAATGCAGGAAGGCTTCCTGGAGTAGAGGAGGTGGAGGGATTTCGTCTGGTGAAGGAGTGGAGGAAGGATGGTAAGATTAGCCACCAGAGACTCCAGGGCCCATTCCCATACAGGACGGGTTCTGCTTCCCAGAGGCGGAAGGAGGGGGGCTGACCAAGATAACCGCGCCCCCCCCCAAGGCACTGAATGCAGCCCCAGAGCTGAGAGTTCCGGAAACTGAGGTGCCCTGCTGACCCTCCCTCCCGCTCTGTGCCCACAGGACTCCCGTGAGCTGGCCATGTGCGCCTGGCCGGGCCGGCGGCCGGACGGAGCTTGATGCGTGCCCGGCGTCCCCAAGCCCATGCCGCCCCCGGAGAAGAACCGAAGCCCCCCTGCCCGGGCGCTCGCGGGCCGCGCTCGGGGTAGGCTGCCCAGCCTGCCGTCGCCGGCGCTGTTCTGCGCCTGCGGCCTGTGCGTGCTGCTGGCGGGCGTGAACGTGACCCTGGTGGGCGCCTTCGCCTCTTTCCCGCCCCGAAGCAACGCGCCGCTTGTCGTGGGGCCGGCGCTGCTGGCGCTGGCGCTCCTCTGCTTCGCTGTCTGCTGCGCGTGTAGCCGCCGGGGCCCCGCTCCCCGCGCGCGCTCGGCGGCGGCCTCGGGCCCGGGCCCGGGCGGCGGCGGCGGCGGGCCGGTGGCGCTGGAGATGGAGAGCAGCGAGCGCACGGCGCAGGACACAACGGCCGTGCAGCTCAGCCCTGCCGCTTCGGCCGCGTCTTCGAGCCGCTCCAGCCCCGGTCCCTTCGCCCTGGACGTCCCCACGCCCGCAGTGGTCTACGCGCCGCGCACCGAAGGGGTCCAGCTCAACCTGCCCCGGGAGCGCGTCGCCCCCTAGCGGACCCGGTGCCCGGCCCTGACTCCCTGTCGGGCCCCCTTCGTTTGATACCACTTAAGAAAAAAGAGTGGGAGAGAGGAAGGAGAAGAAGGAAAAGGAAAAAAAAAAAAATCCATATGGGTCCGGTGCTGGGCACAGGTGGCCTCATCTGTCCCATCTCTGGAACGTCTAGAGGGGTGACGGTGAAGAGGAACACTCACCAATGGAGGGAGCAGTGCCTTGGCCCATCAAGTGGGGTCGGCGGGGCCCTACTTTACCTCACTCCCCAGACTTGAAGAAACGGGCCCCTGGACCTTCGATCCCTAACACCACCACCCATGAGCCGCTCCGAGAGGGACTAACAACCAGCAAGTCCCCTGACCCCAAGGCGTGGGAGGAAGCAGGGGCAGGCAGGAATGTCAGCCTGGGCAGTCTCCTGTCCCTGCACACTGTGAAAGGCCACCAGCTCCCCCTTCTGCTCCTTCTGCCCTCCTTGTCTCTACCCCATCATGATCTTTCGGGATTAAGGGGATGTGGGGGGTTCTGATTTGAGCCAGGATCTCCTAAGGTAGAGCTGGGTTGAGCACCTCACTGACTGGTAGATCAGATCACCAGAGCTGAGGCTGAAGCACATCAGGGATGAAAGGTGAGGGGGCTCCTCCAAACAGGAAGGCCCCAGTGTGATCCATGCTGTGGTTCCTGATGTGCCTCGCTCCTCAATAAAGCACCTCTGGAGCCAAGTTCTCTATGATGGTGCAGCCTAGGGGGAGGGATTGACTGTGGGGCTTCTGGCTGAGCACCCTTGATTCTGGGGTCCTCCTAGCCAAGAGCTTCACCTTCCTAGCACCATCCCCTCTTGGAGACCTGGAAGGGGACTCCAGGAGAGAGGAGTGTGTGACTGGTCATCCTGTGGGAACAAGTGTGTGAGATTGGGAGTGGGATGGATCTATGTGTCTGCATGGGGTTGCCTGGCTACGCATAAGAGATGGGGAGTGTGGGAGTATTTGGGTGGCAGTATCTAACGTCATACATGAATGTGAGAATGTGTGTGGGTGTGTGTGGTGGTAGTTAAGGAGTGAGTCACCCAGTAAGAAGGATGAAGCGCTCCCCACAGCTATGCAAAGCCTACACCTTTCCCCTGATGTGCCTGCATTCTGCCCAGTGAGTGAGGGCATCTGGTAGAGGGGTAGAGGGATGGAGGCTGCCTCACAAGAGAAGCCAGGGAGCTGAAGACTGGGGTCGGTGGGGGGAGGATACTGCAACCCTGGGCCAGCCCCTTCTCGATGCAGGGACCTGGAAAAGCAGTGCCTGGTGATGGTGGCACACCCCTTGCTGGCCACAACTTCCTGTCCATCCACCTTTGGCTTCAGCACCCTCCCTTTTTCTTTCCAGGGTGGGCTCTACTGCTCTTCTTCCCTGGTCTGGGATTTCCCACCAGCCCTGGGAAGGGCTGACCCCCTCTCTGCCTCTTCCCCCTCTGACCCTTCCCTTCCTCTGACTCCCTTTCTGCCTCTGCCTCTCCTGCTGTCTCCCCCACTCACTGACCTGGAGAAGAGTGAATCTGTCTGCATAGGTGCCAAGTAGGTCATCTCTATTAATTCACACGGATTAATGGGCCCTAACCTTTGAAGCATCCAGTCCCTGGAGCTGATGACCTCTTCTCAGAACACTTCCCCACCCCGACTTTGTGTGTGTGTGTGTGTGTGTACCCGCTTGAGCACGCAGATGCAAGAAAGGCCGCCTTCCCAGGCTTCAGTCCTCTCTCTTCTGGATCACTGGTCTGCAGCCTCAGACGCCACCTGCTGCTGCCTTAGTAGAGCAGGAGGTGAGAGAGGTGACCGCTGATGCTGCCTTGGGGTGTGGTCTGGACCACCCTCCTTAGGAGGAGGCCCCCCCAGATTCTAGCCTGGAATGGTAGGACCAGCCCCAACCCCTCTCCCACCCGCTGGCAGAGGCCTAGAATTGCACCACCAGACCTCCTCTTCACCCCACCAACGTCTGGGAGGGTGGGAGGAAGAGTGAGCATGTGCTAAGGGCTCAATGCCACAAATGGATGGTGTGAGTGAATAGAATTGGGGGGGGGGGACCAGGGGAAACACTGGCTCCCTGGAGTCTCCCTTCCACTGCCTCCTCTAGCTGAAGGTCATCCTTTGTCCCTTCTGTGCCCCCTCCCCCTCCACAGGCACACCAGGAGATATTCTCCATACCCCAGGGCCCACTTCCCAGTCAGCCCTAGAAACTACTCCCTCACACCCCGTCTTTCCTGGACCTGCTTCTGTGGGTGAGGGCTCCTCCCCTCACACTCCTTCAGGCCCTTCTAGGGCAGGACCCCACTGAGGAGCTAGCCAGGCGCAGGAGCACCTCACTCTCTGATACAGAGGCTGGGTGATGGCTCTGTCCCCACCCATCTGCAGGCTGCTCTCAGGCAGGCTCCAGGGGGCCAGTCTGTGGACGGTGAGGACACAACTCTGACAGCACAGGGGTAGCGGGCTCTCTGACCTCGAGGAATTCGAGCCGGGACTGGTGACTCTTGCAGGGACACCGCACAGGGGCACTGGGATGAGGGCCAGCCCCCGCCACTCCCACGCTGAGACGCTGAGAGTGGAAGCATGAGAGCCTGTCCTTAGAAGTCCAGGAGCTGCTGTGCAGGAGGCACAGCTGGTCCTTCTGAAAGGAGGGGTGCTTCCTGGGGCCTGTGGGGCTCAGGGGTGGCAAGGTGAGCCCCAGTTCCCAGAGGGAACTCCTGATAGCCTGGGAAAAGGGAGCCCACTAAGGGGCCGGAAACTTGGATCTCCTCTCACTGTTCCCACTAGAAGAAACGAGGGCAGCCACTTGGGACCACTTTTTTCCCAATGATTTAAACAATTCCTGAGGGGCACCTGGGTGGCTCAATCGGTTAAGTGGCCAACTCTTGGTTTTGACTCAGGTCATGATCTCACAGTTCGTGGGTTCAAGCCCCACTTCAGGCTCTTCGCTCACAGTGTGGAAACCTGCTTGAGATCATCTCTCTCTCCCTCTTTCTGCCCCTCCCCTGCTTGTGCTCTCTCTGTCTTTCTCAAAATAAATAAATAAACTTGAAAAAAAGAAACAATTTTGAGCCCTACTATGTGTCCAGCACTGGGAATATAGTGGTGAACAAGCCCTGGAGGGGGTCTTACATCTACTTGGAGGAGACAGGCAATAAAGAATTAAGCAAACAACAACAACAACAACAAAATATTAACTAGTGGAAGTGCTGTGCAGAAAATCACAATAAGAAGGTGTGACAGAGGGACTTCTTGGGTGGCTGGGAAGGTCTTCTCTGGGAGGTGACATTTAAGCTGAGTTCTGATTGACAAGAGTCAGCCATGTAAAGGTCTAGGGCAAGAACATTTCAAGCTCAGGAAATGGCCAGTGCTAAAGCCTCTGTGCATCCAGCCAAGAAAGAAGGGCTATAGATGACACTGGGGAGCGTGGTGGGGGGAGGGGAGGGGGCATGTTGCTCAGCTCATGTACAGCTTAGCAAGCGGGATGCAGAATTGGGATTTTACTCTCAGTGAGGTGGGAGCCACTGGAGGCTTTTAAGCAGGGAAGTGACATGGTCTGATTTATGATTGTAAAGATCACTCTGCCTGCTGTGTGGAAAATAGAGTGTCGAGGGGCAAGAGGGGAAATAGGGTGGGTTGGGAGGTTATTGCCGTGAGATGCTGGGGGGCTGGGACTGGAGTGGTGGCCGGGAAGTGGACAGATTCTATACTCATTTTGGAGGTCTCTCTGTTGGGGAAGTTCAAGAGGAGAGAAAGGGAGGACTCCAGGAAGAACTTCTAGAATTTTTATTTGAGAGCTGGGCACAGGATGGAGGAAGAGCCAGGGCTGAGGTAAGATGAAAAGTCTGTTAACCCAGGGGAGCTGTCTTATGATTGCTGGAGGTACAGCCCTGAGTTCTGGAAAGAGGATTCAGATTTAGAAGCCATTGTCATATGGGTGGTCGGGAAGCCACGAGTCCAGATGAAGCATCTGAGGAGAGATGAAGACAGAGAACTCAGAATCCAGAATAGTCTATCCTCTGAATCTAAGAGAGAGAAGGAACATTGAATTGCCCAGTTCTGAATCCCGCCCGACCTTCTGCTGATGCAAGTGCCTTGCTGATGAGGTCTGTGGACTAGGAGTTGGGGATTGGGGAGAAGTGAGTGGAATGTGAGCTCCAAGAAGCTAGCACTCCTGGCTTGTTCACTGCTATGCACTCAGGTGTGTTCACCTGACACAAGGGAAGTACACGATAGATATTTGTCGAATGACTGAATGAGTAAAAGGTGTGGATCTTATCACATGGCTAAGACACCAGGTCGCCAGTAATAGGGAATTATTAAGATGCCTGCTCTGGGCAGGAAGGGAGAAAAGCTCTTTATGTGTGTGAAAGTTCCCGTGGCCAACTCCTGTTTTCTGCGTCTGTGTGGAAGATGGGGTGACACAGGAATGTAGAGCTGGCTAGATGGACACTGATGGAAGTGCCTGAGGGCTAGGCTCCCCAAAGTAGGAAATGGCCAGATGGACTGGGGAAGCCTAAGGAAATCGGCACTGCTAGGGAGTGCCACCAGAGGGCACTCTGGGCACATGACAGGGGATAGAGACGGCTCAGCCCAGCCAGACTGTGTAAGTTTGCCTTTTCCCCTTCTGAGGGCAAACCCCTGAGGAGTAGGGGTAGCAAGGAGCTGGGCATACAAGGACTGGGGGTGCGGTCACCCAACTCTACTGACACCTCCAACCCTGAAACCTGACCTTATCACAGAGGGAGGCCTAACCCTGGGCAGCCTTTATCAAGGGCACAGGTAAGACCTGAGTCTGGTTATCTTGATCTTAGACTGAGACCTCACCCCAGTCCATACTGAGTCATGACCTAAACATGATCTTGGTCATACTCTGAGGCTTGATGCTGCCTGGTCCCTACACTGAATCCTGATCCTGGTCTTAGACTGAGTTCTAACTCAGACCATAAACTGAACCCTGATCTTCATCAAAGATTAGACCCTGATCTGGGCACA